CGCGCTGCTGGCCCCCAGCAGGAATGCTTCTGTGGCTGGAGCAGGAACGTGGGTAGGCGAGCAAGGCCATTTTCATCAGGGTGGCCCCAGTGCAATGAAAGTGGGGGAGTGTGTCCCCTGGGTGAATCTGTGGGGCTTGGAAAAGGGGGGAGGGGAGGGAGCTGCTCCGGACCTCTTCAGTTTTGGAGGCCTACCCGGGTCTGCCCTGCCTCCTGGCTAAGGTGCCCGAGGCTGTGGCCCCCGCTGGGTTGAGAGGCATGGGCCCCTCGTGGCTCCTGCCAAAGGATGTCCTGGATGTTTCGGCAGAAAAGGTCCACAAGGAGATTGAGCAGGTCATCGGCCCCAATCGCCTTCCTGCCACGGAAGACCGGCTGAAGATGCCCTACACAGATGCCGTAGTCCATGAGATCCAGAGGGTGACGGACATCGTCCCCCTGGGAGTGCCCCACACGGTGATCCGGGACACTCAGTTCCGGGGGTACCTTCTGCCGAAGGTGAGGCTCCTCGAGAGGAAGGGGGCGTGTGCAGCGATGGTCCATCCCTGGGAACGGAGCCTCACTCTGAGTTTGGGGTTGTGTCTTCGCAGGGCACGGACATCTTCCCCTTGCTTGGCTCGGCCTTAAGGGACCCCAAATACTTCAGCGACCCCGAGAACTTCAATCCCGGACACTTCCTGGACGAGAACGGCCGTTTTAAGAAGAACGAGGCTTTTGTGCCGTTTTCCTCTGGTAAGGGTTGGGGCCTGTGGTTTGCTCTTTTCCTCTGTCTTTGGGGCACCTGACCAGGGCAGCACAGGTGAGGCTGAGAGTGGAGCTGCCTCGAGGCCCAGGCGGGACCTTCCCAAAGAATCGCTTCCTCCACTTGAGGTGCTGCAGTTTTACCGCTGGAAAGGAAGGGAAAACCTCCGCCTCTGATGCCCACCAGCCTCTCTTTGGGGGGCAGTCTGGGTCTTGGAGGGGGGATTATGAGTGGCCTGGCCCCTGGAAACCCAGGGCCTGCTCCAGGCTGTCCCTCCCACTGGCTCTCTGGGCTAGCGAGATGGGGGGTGGTGAGAGGGGTGGCCTTGGCCTGACCCCCCCCCATAAGCCCCCTCACTGCCTTCAGCCAAACCCCTCCTCCCTCATCAAGGCAGCTCCCCCCCCCAAGCCGGGCCTTGGAAAGACGGTGGCCCCCCGTGGCCAGGAGAAGTGGGGAAGGAGCCTCCCTGGCGGAGTCGGGCAGGGAGCCCTTGGGGGCAGAGACTCTCCGGCCGATGTGTCTCTGCCCGGCTTCTCTCCTCTCCTCTAGGGAAGCGCGTCTGCCTGGGGGAAGCCATGGCTCGGATGGAGCTCTTCCTCTACTTCACCACCCTGCTGCAGAACTTCTCACTGAAGTCGCCTCTGCACCCCAAGGACATCGACGTCTCCCCCAAAATGAGCGGCTTTGGGAACATCCCCCCCGTCTACCAGCTGAGCATGCTGCCCCGCTGCCCCTGGGCCTCTGCTGCCTCTCTCTAGCTCCCTTCCTGTCCCAGCCCCACAGCCCCCCCAACCCGGGGAAGCGCCCCGCCCAGCAGGGCTCCCTGCCTTCTGCTGGGCCAGTTGAAGCAGATCCCAGGCTCTGGGGTCTGCTGGGTCAAGGGGATCCCTTCCTCAGAGCATCCCCTGTTCTTGTCCAGATCCCAATCAGGAGCCACAAGGAGGGTGTCCCTGGAGGAGCCCATAGCATCCCGGGTGTGTCCAGCCCTGGGAAAACTGCTCCCCTGTTCCACCCCGGCCCTGCTTGGCCCTCCAGCTGGGAGGCCTGGCCTTGGCTCTTCTCTCTGGCCCCACACCCCTCCGGAAGACCTTCTCCCAGCCTCAAGCGGTGACTGGATGGGACAGAGACTTGGGGGGGGGAGGGTGCTAAATTCAGTGGCTGGAGAGTGCAGTCAGAACAATCTGGCCGTAAAAGTTACGTCTTCCTTCTGTCCCTGTTTGGCCCTTTCGTTTCAGCCTCCCACAGCACCTTCAAGGGCCAAGGACAACCCACTGCAGCCAACTTGGTGGCCACATTTTTTGTCAAAATTATTGCAACGCTAACATTTCCGGATTGACTTTATTTTATTATTACTGAACCTGGTTCCATCGGAATCAATATAACTTTTGTATCTGTTGAATTGTCCCGTGGCAAGTTGGCTGCGGTGAGTTGCCCCCTTTCACCCCAAGAGAGGGTCTCAAGCCCCCAGCCCCAGAAAGTTTGTCCATGCTCTGCCTTTATACGCAGCGGTGATTCCAGACAGAGTCAGCCCCCTTCTCACGTGTATTAACTCAGCTTAGAAATCTGTCTGATCTTCAAAACTGCAATTAAAAGTCTGTTTAGAGAAATAAGCAAAAAATAATAATAAATCTGTATTTTAATAACAAGATATTCAGACTTGGAGAAGAGAGTGAAATTGCAGAAACAGAGGCTGCTGCAGTCAATCTTCCTAAGCAGAATTTATTTCAGAAATCCTTTTTTAATTTCCTATGAATATTCCTTTTAGTATGAACATTGTGAAGGCATAGAAGTTTTAGGAAGAAAGAGGACAAAATGCTGGATTTAGTAAGAAAATGCTTATTATGAACGATCCTGTACGCAGTCTGAACAAAGTTTAAACACAGAATAAAACAAGTTTTACTATCGAGAGATTATGGATTAAATTTTATAGGGATTAAGATACCTATGTTGTGTATACACAGTGGGCTTCGATAGGTCTACCCCACTGCCTCTCTTGGCCAGCTTCAGCCCACAGGGAAACTCTCAAAGCACGGAAAAGCCACAGGGGAATGAGCAGAACCTCTGCTGGCTTGCAGAGCCTCCTCCTTGGGACTGGCTTAGCTGGACCAGCCCTTCTCCCTTGTCCCAGGCAGGGCAGTGGGGGGGGGGGGGCATCCTGACATTTCCATGGCCCGTCAGCAGCAGCACTGCGGAGTGTGAGAGACAATCCTTGCTGCAGCGGGAGCGAAGAGCCCAGGCCTTTGGTTGGTCCAGCGGTCAGTCGGGGTGAGGGGTGGGGAGGAATGGCAGGACTTTGGGATCAGCTCCAGCCCATCCCCGCCTGGGAGAAGTGCAGCCGTGTGCTTGAGGGTCCCCCTCGCCCCATCAACTGCACCCATCGCTTGTGGAGGGCAGAGGGGCAGAAGGGGCCATGGGGCACCTCTTGGTTTCTTTCCATCCCCCCTTCCAAGCATTGGGAGTGAGACCCCGACTCCCACTGGCCACAGCCCTTAGTGACTGACTCTCCCTTCGGAGGCCTAGTGACGCTCCCTCTGGGACTGCTGGGCTGCCAGTTCCCTGCAGTTTGGGTTGTGGAAAGGGAACTTCACGAAGACAGTGGTGTCACTCCAACAGGAAAAGCCCAAGGGGAACATCAGGCCAGCCATAAAACAAACTTACATAGGAAAACAGGAATCAAATAAAAGGTATTAAAGAATCCCTATAGACAAAAGTAATTAGGAAAACTAGACAAATAAGAAAAGGAAACCCTTACAAACACAGGACAGACCAAATAAGCAAAACAAACGGACAAAAGACACAAAAAATATATAAATTACAAAAGAGACAGACAGGAGATTGCCACAAAACAAATATGAAAAAAACATTATAAAGCTAAAAGAGATTAGAAAAAACCCATAATACAATCTAACCACCCCGCGGAGTTTGCCTTCCGCACCCCGTGGAGTTTGCCCTCCGGCAGGAATAAAGACAAACTCAAACAGGATTTGAAACATTAAGCACAAATACAAACATTCACACGAAATCAACTCACAAAGGGAGAAAAGGGTATAAAAACCAGGGACTTACCATAAGAAGCCAGCTAGCCCAGGAACGCAGACTTCTCGCTGTCCACCGCCTTCCTGAAAAACAAAAAGATCCAGCTTTCAAGCAGTTGTCCGTATCCTTGCGCCGGAGCTCTCCCAGCGGGAAAATCGAATCCTCGGAAGAAAGGCATTTTGACACCTTTCAACAGGGTCTTGGAGTTGATCCAAAGCTTCGCCAATGAACGTTCCTCGCCCTGAAGGCTCACGGTCCCTGAATCACAGCCTTTGGTGCCTCCTGCCCTCAAAATCCTCACCCGAGTCACCTCCTTGCCCATTAATGCAGGGAGGTGGGGGCAGAGACTCCTGCAGCTGCCCTCAGGAGGTGGCATCCACCCTCCTTGCATTCAGGGCCACCAGAGGGCGGCTCCGAGATGACCTCCTGCAGCCTGCAACCTTGAGAGCTTCTGGGTCTCTGGTGCAAGCCCTCCCCCATCCCTCCTCGGCCTTCTGTGGCTACCGCCTGCTCCTCTTCTACTTCTTTGGGGGATTGGTCACACCCAGCTCACCTCTCCCTGGCTGGGCTGAGCAGAAGGGGGGCCCAGCTGGACAGTAGAGGCCTGGGACCACGGACATCACTCTCCGAAAGGCCAGAAAGGCCCTCTAGGCAGGCATCGCTCTCCTGCCTGGCTTGGAAGAGACCTGGAAGCTGGGATCCCTACTGGAAGCTTTCCAACCCCACAAGGGAGGGGAGGAAATGCTCCTCTGTTGCCAACCCTGCTCTTTCTTACACTTCCGTCACTCACGTTGTCTCCCTTTCCTGCCCCTCCGCTGCCCTTCAAGGGCCCCACCGAGGTCTCAACCTGGGCAGCAGCAAATGGCCCACAAAGGGGTTTTGCAAAGGGGGCTTGGAAGGCACGGAGGGAGTCCTCTCAGGGCTAAGGCAGGGTTCCCCCTGACTGTACGTAGGTGCGATTCAGAAACTTTTACCGGAATTGCCAGGAGTGGCGAGGAATATTGGCAGGGTGTGCAACTGTTGCTTGGATCCACACTGGCTGTGATTTGGTCAACCCTGACGTGCAAAAGGTTCACCAAAGTGGGCCCAAAGAGCCACCTGCTCAACCTTTGGATGGTTCAGCGACCGGGGACAGGAATTGCAGAAACTTTGGATCAGCTCCAGACCATTCCTCTCTGGGAGAATCGCCTTGTGCTCCAGGAGGTCCGGAGGGGTTTCCAAAAAGTGGCATTTTCCCCTTGCCACATTACCTGCCCCCCTTGCTTGCAGAGGGCAAAGATGCACAGGGGGACATGGGCATCGCCTGCCCCTTGCCTGTGAACCCCCCTCCCTTCCCAGCAGGGGACCTCCAGCCTCTCCTTCCCCTGAATGAGTGGCAGCCCTACTGGCCCTTGGCCACAGTGCCTAGCAGTGCCTGCAATTGGCCATTCGCCCCTGGACCGCTGGGCTGCCAGTCCTCAGAATAGGAAGACAACTGGACAACGGAGTTGAAAGGGTCTTTGGAGGTCAGCTGGTCAAAGCCCCAGCTCAGGCAGGAGCCCCTGTCCTAATTCAGGCGAATGGCTCTCCAATCTCTCCAGTGAGGGAGATCCCACAACCTCTGCGGAGAAGCCTCTTTAAAAGCACCTTGGAGTTGACCCAAAATCCAGTCATGCACTCAATGAAAGCTCCTTGCCCTACATATTCGTGCTCGCTCTGCAGAGCCTTGCTCAATTCAGCCCTCTGACTGAAGCCTCCATTTTGGTTTTGGCCCAGGACGGGGGAAGAAAACTCCACTTCAAAGGCTCCTTTTCTGCCCCCACCCCCAAAAATAAATGAATGGCAAATTGCATCGTCTATGAAATGACTTTGTGGCAGTCGCTATAGTGGGTCTTTGACACAAGTGATGGCTGAAGTTGGTGCAGCCTTGCCTTAGAAGGAAAATGAGGTAATTAAAGAACGAAAGTATTGTTTAATACAGGTCTTGAAGTGAAGTCCCCCCCCCGCAACCCCCCTTTTGGCTCCTGAGCAGCCTCCAGCTACAAGTGGAATAAATCTGAATTGGCAGAAAGGCGCTCTAGGAAGGCACCACTCTCCTGCCTGGCTTGGAAGAGACCTGGGCTGTTGCACAACCTGGATGATGACGTGGGCGTTGCATTCCTGTCTGGATCCTGTATTAGGTCCCCGGAGAGCCAGGCTGACACTTGGAAGTGCCGGAGCTGCCTGTCCCCATGGATCTCCTGGGAGCAGGGACCCTCCTCCTGGCCATCTGCCTGGCCGGCCTCCTGGCCCTCTCCTCCTGGCAGCGAAGGGGCAAGATGCCCCCTGGACCCACGCCCCTGCCCCTGATTGGGAACCTGCTCTGGATAGACCGAAACAACCTGCCCAAGTCACTCATCAAGGTAAGGCCTCCTCTGCCCCCCACCCCGCCTGCTCCTTCCTGCCTTCAGCCTGACCAGCTCAGGTGGCCGTTGCTGGCCTTGGACTCCCCGGCATTGAAGGCCAGCCGGCTGGAGGACCCCAGGACCCCAAAGGGCCTTGGAGAGTGGAAGAGGTATCGGACTGCTTGGTTGGTTGGTCAGGTGCCATGGAGTCCTGGTGGTCTCTTAGCCAGCCAGCAGGTAGATATTCCCCAGGGAGAGCAACCCAGCCCCTGCCGTTCTCTTCCCTGCACGGGCTGCTGCGTCCTGAGGACAGCCAGAGGCTGTGACCTTCTGTGCACTGGACCGGGGCCTGGAGGGAA